AACTGAAACTCGGCATACCTAGTTCTACTAGTCCAGGTGTTACAGTGTTAGTTACCGAAGTACACCTTCAGGTCACTTCAGCAAGTCCGGAGGTAAGGACTCATCATAACTAACAAAACGAGCCCAAACTCAGCACACCCAGTTCTACTAGTCCAAGAGTTCCACTAGTAATCCTAAATTACATTTTGAGGTCACTCCATCAAGACCGGAGGTAAGGTCTCATGATAACATGTTAACTGGTTTATGGTAAACACACACACACACACACACACACACACACACACACACACACACACACACACACACACACACACACACACACACACACACACACACACCCATTCACACACTCACGTACACATACGCACACGCACACATATGCACACAAACACAGACACAAACACACACACACACACACACAAACACACACACACACACACACACACAAACACACACACACACACGCGCGCGCGCGAACACGCACTCAGCCGAATACCTTATGTCGCCGTTGCCACCAATTCCGCTACAAGAAGGGGCGTTGTCGAGTAATTCGTTAAAAAAAAGTCGTTTATTTCGACCACAAGTATCATAGATTGAATAAAAATTTAAGAAATCATTAAGTATCATAGATGTTAGTAATAATACAAATCTTAAAACTAATTTTCGTAAAACTTAATATTATTTACCTAATTTTAAAACTATATATAAGAGAGACCCGAATAGTCAGCACGTGCACCATATGACAATGGTTCAGGTACTGACCTCAAACCTGTCAGAAAATGCCCTCAGGATACCATTGGAACTGGCCCGCACCCTGCGCACCAGGGATGTGCATCGTTTACGCATGGTGGTGTAGAAACAATCCACATGCGCATCCGCGAACATACCCGGCGCATTACAATAACGAGATAGACCAAACAGCACCCTGAATGCATTACATAACACGCATTTAATCTGTAGCTTGTACAGCCAAAGATACGAAAAGGCAACGTCGCGGCTGCATTCAGCCAATCCGATCGTTTATCTTATCGTTTGCTGTGCTCTGATTGGCTCATTTAAATCGGATCAACATTTTCCGTAACCATTGCAAGGTGGATTTGTATATCGGATCAACTTCGGCCAACGCTAGCAAACAGTCTCGTGAGTGCAGATGTTGATCCGGTCGGTGCCACATTAGTTACCAGAGATGCATATTGGATCAACAAACGGCGCCGGATCAACATGCGTTTTCGGATCAACAAAGTGCTCGCGTGAAGTCGCGTCTGATCAACATTTACCGTAAAGAGATCTATATATGATATATATATATATATATATATATATATATATATATATATATATATATATATAAAATATATACCATATATCTGTAACTATATAATTTCGTGGTGGAGAAATAAATATAATTTTTATTTATATTATATACAAACTTTGAGTTATTTAGCGGTTCAAATATGTCACAACTTAATCTTTTTTCGTCGTAATGAATGTATAAGACTGAATAACATATGAACTTACGGTCCACCAACTACCATCTGTAAATTACATCTGCAGTCCACGGACACCTTTTTTATAAAGAATAAAGGTGTGATCGGCGGTAATAAATTAAGGAATAAAACTATAATATATAACTCACAAAAATAATCCAGTAACTAAAACCCTGACAAATACTTATTATATATGATAGGGACAAATACATATTTTATAGGATAGGGTGACAAACGAGCATATAGTCCACCTGATGGTAAGTGTATGTTGTGGACCACAGACATCTACATTTATCCTCGATCAAGAATCAAAACGCAAATGCTCTCTTACCCCTGTGGATTAAGATGGAATGCCTCGATTCTGAGAGATCCTGAGACTCTTTTTTACTGGAAACGTGGCATTGCATCTTAGTCCTCAGGGATGGCAACGCATCTGCGTTTTGATTTTTAATCAAAGATATATGTAGATGTCTATAGTCCACAGAATCCACTTACCATCAGGTGAACTGTGTGTTTGCTTGTCACCCTTATTTTATATAAAAAAGAAAGGAGTCCGATCACCTAGAAAAGGATCGCTTAGTTTGAAAAGTTTAGAAAAAAGATATAATTCTAATAAAATCCTCCAGACCGAACTTCGGTCACGGCGGCCTGCCTCAACGGAGACTAGCCATCAGCGCAGGACAGAATTATAATGTCCAAGTGTATGCGCAAGCACAGGTGCACTCTCTATTCCGTTACTCTTGTGCTCCGATGGACGGTAAAGTGATAAAATCGGAGGGAGATCAGGCGGAGGACCAACGGCTTTACGTGGTTTCTGAGGCACGGGGGTGAGACACAGCCAACTTCCTGACTCCTGAGCCTTTTTTTCAGTTTTTTCTTTCAGCGAAAAACTCAATAATTAATTTTTTTAGCCCTACACGGGATTCGAACCCAGGACCTCATGATGGGCAGTCGCACTACTACAATTAAAAAACGAGGCAGTCAAAAATATGTATATATAGATATAATACACCAGTCACAGAGACTCTTAGTCAAAACTAATGGCAGCGAAGCCGGCGAATGTCAGGAGCACGGTGACAGTGCATAGTCGCAAATTGGTGCGATTTGCCGCAGTCCGACTTTCAACTCAGCAATTGTAGCCGCGTTCAATTTCTAGTCGAGTTGTCACTTTGACAGTTTTGGAGTTAAAAGCGCTCGTTAGTATCAGTGACAAGACCGAGAATCTTTTTTTAAATAAATAAATGGTATTCGGTTTTTAAAACCAAGGAGTTTTCAATTAAAAAGATTTTAATATGGCAGGAACAGTTGAAATATTCCATTCCCGATACTTTTAGTGCAGTAGATTAGTAGTAGAGTAGTAGATATATATATATATATATATATATATATATATATATATATATATATATATATATATATATATATATATATATATATAGTTCTTCTAATAAATGTAACATAAATATGGAATGTTGCACTATTTTTACGATCGATTGGGACCGGGACCTAAGCTAGGGAATCATTTCAGGGCTAAAGGTCGCTCTCTCGCTGACTACTTCCGAATTTGTAGTAAAATGATGTACCCTGGGGGCAAAAGTGTGCATTATTCTGTAATATTTTTTATTTTATATTTTTAATAGAAACATTCATTCATAAGTGCCTTTATCTGTAGTGATCAAAGTGCCAACTCGACAATAAACTTAATTGCAACTTAAGTTGCTAACTGGAGTGAGCGACCACGTCACCGCAGCTCGGCAGCAATTAGCTTCTCGTACGCAACTTTAGATACATTTATTAATGACACAATGTACTGCATCATAACAAGGAAAACGACATGTTATTTCACATCTATTGTTATTATAAAATATTCTTCTTTCATTAATATGAAGTGACAAACGAACGACCTACGACCTACTGATATCTGCAGCGAACTTCAAACAAACAAAACTGCAGCTTGATATTCACATTTGAGGAATTAGATGAGACGTAGTTTGTAATTATACTTCAGACCAGAACACGACAGTGCAGGCATTGCTATATGATGGCAGATATAGTTAAATATGTGGTTCCTATTCAGAAGAACTCTTAGACAGAACGCTCTCGTCGTAAGGAGAATTTGCATTGATCACGACACTTAGTACTCGTATTAACAGATAACAGACGTCGCGCACCTTTCACTGTAGTGCATCTTATGTATTTCTTGTTGTGTTATTTATACACCCTAGGTATCGTGAATTCTTCTTAATGTCAATAATATTATAAATAAATGAAATAAATAATACAAGATGCGTTTTTGTAAATACAATACTATTAACAAAACGGTAGTGCTGTTTTTGCCGGAAGAATTCTTCTTAGTACGCGTTGGTAGTATCCTTAGATTCTTGATCCATCTGAGGGTTCCTATGTATTTTCCATAGAATACTATAATGTATTATAGGATTCTATGGTATTTTCCCAAAATTTTATTTGATCCTCACACTCGTGACTAATCTTATACTCGTATAGTTTTATAACCAAAACATTTATAAGATTTTACGTTGTTGATGATTTTATGTTGTTTTGTTTAATCATATTTTAGATTTAGACATAGAACGGGAGCGTAGGGCTTTGGCGGTCAGCGGTAACATTCTGGCGCGTAGATTTGCTCGTTGTACGGATGAAGACAAGATTACGCTTTTTAAAGAATTTTGTCAAAACATGTACACGAGCGGTCTGTATATCAGCTACACCAAAGGATCGTTAAGCACCCTTCGCGTTCAATATAATAATATCTTCAGGATGATGTTGAAACTTCCTCGTTGCTGTAGTGCATCTGAAATATTTGCGCAGGTGAGAACGGATGGTTTTCAGGCACTCATGCGCAAGAAAGTGGCGTCACTGATAAGCCGCGTACGGGGGAGTGACAACAGCATCCTGAGGACGCTGGCAGATGATCCACATGTACCTATATTAAGGAGCTATGTGCAGACAGTGATCAAATACGTAATTTATTTAAATTAAATTATTATTATAATTATAGTACTACTAACCCTCTTACTATTAGAATTAATGACTAACCCTTATGGATTTATGTTGTCCGAAAATAAAGTGATTTGATTTGATTTCTGTCGACCGTAAATCCAAAATCCTAATGTTGCTTCACCGATCTGTCACACCTAAGTACGATCGTCTTCTCTACTTCTGCCAGCTATCAACAGTGTACCAATTTTAGGATTGAGTGGCCAGCGTGATTACATGGTGTTAATAAAATTTTTACTTGTTCCTCAGAAATGATATTCGTTTAGTTGTTCTTTGTTAGGGAACTTTTAGCCCATTTTTTTAACTATTTTGCCTTATGCGGTTAAAGAATTCCAGTTCTATGAGCATCTGAAACTTAAATTAAATTCAATTGTCTTTCTACCTGTCTCTCTCTCTCTCTCTCTCTCTCGCTCTCTCTCTCTCTCTACTGCCATGATGCCAATGATGAAATATAAACGTACATGAATTTATTTGAAGACTTCGGGCTTGTTACAGAGGGCTGACCTTCCCGGGAGGGGAGTCTGGGATCTCAGTTCCGGACACAATGTGCACTCCAAAGTCTGTCGGCATCTCCGTCGACACCAACACCTACGAGCCTCATCTCCTTGCTGGTACCATGGCCCATATGATTGGACACAATATCGGTAAGAATTATATAAATTGATATTTACTCGCACAAGCATAAAGATTTATAAGCAAGATTGTTGAATAGAACATAAATTTTTTTATTCACAACTTTTTGAGTGATTTGCAGCACCCATAGGGACTGAGTGGTGACTGAGCTGAAAATTAAAACGATAAAAATAGTTAATTCGGGTTACCTTCGATTTTCAATAGCTCGATCTACACGTATGAACTGACAATATCATCAATCAGTCTTACACTCATGTAGTTGGGCTAAGACTTAATTTTATTAATTTTGGGATCCCAAGCAGATGTCCATGGCAAAGCCATAACACAGCTATATTATAATTGCAGTGCGAATGGATGAGTGCTCTATAAAAAATAATGATTAATTAGTTAACCTTGAAAGTGCGCATTCTGGCAAGAGCTTTTACTGGACACCTGGGACTAAGCAATTCAAGGATATATCGCTTCTGTTCCATAACACATCCTAACTGATTGCGGACCCTTAATGTACAAACGTAACACTCATCTGGGAAACTATATACTTCGCCCAGAAGATGTAAAATTGCTCACAGCAGCGATCACAATAGATCTTTTAGGTCGCAGTGATAGTGATCTCTTTTCCTAGACCTAACTAGCTGCTCGCACATAGTCAAAAAATAACCCTGAACGTTGTAAGTTTAATCTATCCATTAGGTATGGGTCACGATGACGGTCGGGAGCAGTGTTTCTGTCGCGACTGGCACGGCTGCATCATGACGCAGTCCATCGTGGGTCTTGAGAACGTCCAGCCGTACAAGTTCTCCGACTGCTCCAAGAACGACTACATCAACGAACTTCGCATTGGCCAGGGTTTATGTCTTCTGAACAAACCTAATGAGGTAATGTCTGAATAAAATGTTATACAATATTGTATCTTTGAATATTTAGCAATCACGCCGTATATAGGCAGTACAGTAGTACTACCCCATATAATGCCGATGATGTTCTATGAATAATCCAAAATAATGCCGCCAACAGCAAAAAACCATAGCGGCTATCCTGTGTGACAATCTATTGGGGATACATATGTTTAGCAGTGAACTTTTGATAGACTGCAACGACGACGATGATAATGATGATGACTCTGATGATTAGAAAGTTTATTTATTTACCAATTTACATAACCCAATAGATAGATGATAAATTTTCCCGCATTTTTCCAAATTTGACACTGAATAGTAATAAGATTAACGATATTTTCTCGCACTATGTCACTCTCAATTGCCTCTTTTACCTTAAATCACGTATTATAAAATCCACAGAGAAAGAATTTGGCCCCCGATCGCCGGTTATCTTGAAACAAATAACTTGGCCAATAGCCAAAGTTAAATCCTTTATGCTAAATCTAAAGTGGTGATATATTTTCCCTTCCAAATCGAGTTTAATCCTTTTAACTTTAATAGCTTTCAGATTTATTCCAACCTGTCAAATATAGGACACCTTAGAATTTACTCAAGAAAATTATACCTACTATGCGCGTGGTAAAGTCCGAAAAAAATGCGCCTTACAATTATAAGTGGGTGTCTGATACTCTGACAATTGAACTGCACGAACATGCAAATTGAATGTATACATTATTTAAAAGTAAGTTATTCAAAAAATTTAAAACCATAAGAATGTCCTTTCTGAAATAGAGTTTGCTCATTTCTTAGGTACAAATGGAGTGTGTACTAAGTTAGCATTATTATCAAAGGTACCAATAACGGCTAATCAACCACTGTGAAATCTAAGTCCATCAATCAACCTTCATCATAATTACAGCCATTCACGATTTCACTGTTGAACTTAGTCCTCGCATTCGATTCATGTGTACACTTTAATCGCGAGAGAAAGGGGATCGAATTAATGCAAACGTTTCGATTTACGGCCGTTTGCTAAATTCAAGAAAAGTTTCATTCTCTGTTACGATCCGTTAGGTCACATACGAAATGTCCTCCTAATCTCATGGGCCTCCCTCACCTCCATTCATAGATTTCATGCGTCTTACCAGGTTATCCCACCATCTAGTAAGCGGCCACACTACACTTATACTTTATTTACTGGTCTACAAGCCCTATAGTGATATCTCATGATATATTTGATAATTAATATAATTTTGTATATAAAATCAAAAGTCAAATTTGCTCCCCTAATAGCTTCATCTAAAACCGATAATTGTTGCAAAAAATACCTTAATCGATTAGGACTTGAAACAGCAAATTATCTTTGATGATCAAATATCATTATAAAACTAATAACTCAATACCGTGTAGTTAGTGACATCATACGTGGTAGAGCCACGCTGCGGCTATATTATGTACGAATGGGTCGGCTGGACCAGTGATGGACCACGCTCTCACAGAATACCAGCATAAAATAGCAGCTTGATAATGTTTTGTTTAGTATGGTGGTGTAGAGATCTGGAGACCCTTTTATTACTGGAAACGAGGCATTCCATCTTAGTACTCAGGAGTGAAAACGCATCTGCGTTTTGAATCTTAATCGAAAATAAAATATAGATGTCTATAGGCCACAGCAACCACTTACTATCAGGTGGACTGTGTACTCGTTTGTCCCCCTAATTCTATAAAAAAACACCTTATGGCTATCATTTTGCTTCCGGTCGTATTGGATTACCGTCTCCATCGGACTATAGACTATAGGGAGTAGTGAGTACACCTATCTAGCCTCTGTAACACTGTCTCAAATACATTATAACTATTATAACCATTCTTCACAGATATTTTAAAATTTTATCCACTCCATTACATCCTATAACAATCCACTGCTGAACACATGCCTCTCAATATTGGGAAAATTTTACCATAGTTGCAAGGCTTTTCAGGTGGGTTGGTAGGCTTAGTTTTTTATTACAAAGATACTGTTACCTATCTTCTGTTATTTTTTCCTTTGTCGCCTCTTACGACACCCACACGACGATATGGGGCAGTGGATATTCTTACACGGCCACTACACGGTTTACAAATTAATCAAATACAAAACACGAATAACTTATCGTTGATTCGAACTCTTAGAAAGGCGTCATCGACACCCGATTTCAGCTATTAAAAGACTCGACTCATTCGAATGCAAAACAAATTTCCACGTCGAAAATTAATCAAGACGGCCACATTGTTTGTCTCCGGTCTCCTTCATCTTTAATAAAAGTTATGGTAATACAACGCTAGCCGCACTCCGAATTATCAGTTTGTTCGCGTATATATAATAACAGGCACCGAGCGCCCGGACTTCTTTATTGGAATAAATTTACATAGCACCGCACGATAATGCGACCACCGCACCGCTCCACTTCGATTCGGTGCGTATACACATTTATCGAGAGATGATTGTACCCTAAAGTGTCTTTTATTTCTTTGCTTCGGAAGCGACGCACCCCTTTCCATATTACACGTGTTCAAGGTCGCGTTTGAAAGCCTCCAATTCACGAGCGTGAGACGTTGAATTGCAATGTAAATTCAATAGAGGCGCGCCGAAATATCGAGTCGGTGTTTCTTGCGCCTATACCGATGTGATCATGATATTATGCTTTGAGGAGGCAGATTATGCGAAAGCCTTTTCAGAATGGTAAATGTATTGGAACGTTTTGTTTTTGAAAGTGTTTGAATATAACATTTTTAATAATAGTATATTAAATTGGATATCTGATATTACTATTGATAAATAACTATCTACGTCATATAATATGAATTTACTACTTTTAATCTAATATATAAAAATAATTTATGTTTGTTCGTATTCATGTGCTGCCATACCGTTCATCAGATTACAGGAAAACTTTGTCAACATATTGCTTGCACTTCCGCGAAGGTTATAGACATAGTTGGACCCGGTAGGTGGCGCTATTGTAGGATCCAGATATCACCCGTACGAAGTCAGGGCAGATCGCTAGTATGTCATAAAATTAATCGATTTTCCATTTGAGCTTATTTAGATTTGAAAATATTAAAAATAAATTATGACTATAATGATCAAGATATCATTACATTATATTTTCACACAATTTCTTTAAAAATAATATAAATTTTTAATGAAATTGTATTATAAAAATTTTTCGGCGGTAGTTGTAAAAAAGTAACATCTGTCCTTACGAGCTCCGATTTATTTTACGAAATTATAATTGATATACGTTATATTAAATATTATTTTCTACTTTAATCAGTTTATTAATAGTTATTTGCAAGATTTATTCAATAGTTGTGCATTTATGAAGTATTTTTCTTAAGAAATTACTTGCATCATCTGTCAGGTTAGCAAATCTTATAAGTGAAATCAGTGTAGTTTCGTTATTGGATTTAACACAGCAGAGCTCACTATGGCGAATGTCACCCATGCCAATAATATTCAGAGAGAACTGGAAGTTAGCTTGTCACAAAGGATGGCGGAGTTTGAGGAACGGTTACAAGCTGCTATGGTATCATCCACTCCAACACTGTTACAACTCAGTCACGAATTCTAGGCTAATCCTAAGCTTATTACAAAAGCAGATGTGTCAGTTTTATCGACGAAATGGACATGAAGCAACGGCGGAAGGTGTTATTGTTTAATGGTATTGCTGAGAACCTTGAAGTTAATTTAGTAAATGAAGTTCTTGGCCTTATTCAAAACAAAATGGGACTTACAAATTTTGACCGGTTAATTTTTATCGGCTGGGCTCTCATAATAATAATAATAATAATAAAAATAACAAAATTAGGTTAGTTCTTGTCCATTTCCGTGAATATCAAACCAAGTACGATGTCTGGAAGTCCAAATCCAAATTAAAAGGTACTTCATTCACCGTAACTGAGTTTCTCACAAATATCAAGCAAGAGATATACAAAAAGTCAAGGAAACATTTCGACATCAAAAATGTATGTTCACATGACGGTACTATTTATACTAAGCTCCCCGATAGAAGCCGTGCTAAAATAATTACTGAAGAAGACTTTATGCTTGGTTGTTAAGTGGTCTTCAACTGGTTCTGCTGTGCTAAGTGATTCATTTTCTCCTCATAATAAAGACAACTGAACTGAAGTTAGGCCACAGAGCACCCCAAAATGTAACCGTCCACAGGAGGTGGTGATTGGGCTCAATCAGGGAATCTCTGCAGCCGTTAATAAAAACAAGAGGACACGCCTTGTGTTATTGCTAAAAAGTAAATTATTATTCTACAATTTTTCTTCATATTTATATTGTTGGTTTCATTAACAAACAATGTTACAGATCATAATTACTTGATTGTTTAACATTTTATTTTATTTTAATTTGCTTTTTAACAAGTTCTTCGATTTTGACTCATGTGTTCAGTATTAGGTAGTTACAATAACTAAGTTTACATTAAAGAGAGTATATAGTTTATGCTCTAAGGGTACAAAAGTGACCTAGAACATGATCTTTTTTGTGATAAATTGTTTTCTCTCATACTTTAATGATTTATGTTAGTCTATAAGGTATTGACTATATTTACCTACTGTTATTTATTCCTATTTGTTACACTTTAGCAATTCAATTAATTTTTATTTTAGCTTAGTAACATGATATGTATGTTAAATATTAGGGTAGTTCCCAAAACATACAGATTTTCCTTTTACTTTTTTTATTTAGATATAGATATTTTAGCCTTTTGTATACATACTACTTATTATATTATAATGTAAACTCTGCATTTATGTTACCAAAGTTATGTTTAACAGAAAATAATTGGACCCTATGTCATAGCCATTGTGTCTTTTGGGTAATTTTTATGTTTATGTGGAACCTACACATTAATTTACCTTGTTTGTTTGGATGTTGATGTTCATAACTTTGTATATTTATAACTTGCTTTGGTATTGTTTCTTTTTTTTTTGTTTTTGTTTTCTTTTTTTATTAATTTTAATCCGAACCGTTATTTTCAATATATTTCTAACGGATAATTGGTTTATTTTGTGTAAGAAAATTAAATAATTTATTAGTGCTTCTTTTATAGCCATTGAAATGTTACTTACTTATTAATTCAAATTTTTGGATAGTCATTTTACTTAGTGTTTTAATGTGTAACGTCACGGTATTAGAAACAGCCTTCTGTCGAAGGTACCGTTGGGTCTGTATACATGCACTACATAATAATGGGGGACTTCAATACTGATTTACTGAGAAATAATTCTCGTGCTCATAAGTTTCGATCTTTAGCGGCCACTCATCATAACACACTGATTCATGTATTTATCACATAATTACATCTTCTCCCAATAAATTGCCTAATAAGGGGAGCCACTATGACAAATATTATTAGTAAATGTATCCACATGTAAAGTTACACCCCACCCCCCTCCAATTTTTTCCCCCAAAATCAAAACTTCCGACTCTTTTACAGCGAGCGTTAACCACTGAGCTACCACGGCTCTTTTCACATGTCTAAATGCCTGCATTAAAGAAAACATACGTTAAAGATTCAATTTACAAGAAACAAGATGCTAAATAGAGGAAAATTTGTTAAAATAAGTTTCGCGGACCCTTAGCCATTTATTTCGTTCAATAGCTCGTTACTATTGCTGGACCACTTCTGAAGTTGGAAGCCTCCGTGACTCAGCAATTGGTTCATATTGCTGTGTAATCCACGACTTCGGCTACAGATTCGTAGTCTGTCATAAGGTCATCGACTTAAAAATCTGTCATACACAAGTTGTTCCAATGATCTTATAGCTAGATACGGTGCTGAAGATGTACCGAAGGTTACACGTAATAAGCGTAGGTATTGCAAATTCTCATTCGGATTTTCTCGCCACAGAATTCTTTGATAGTCGGTGTCATCTTGATATTCATCTTCTTATTAGGAATAATCTTACTTTTATAATTTTTTCATTTGAATATTGTCCTTAGCTTTAGTTTAATAGTTCAGGAACACTAATGGTTTGATCTGGTCGCGCAAATAAAACGAATGACCTTTTTTAGAAAAATGATGATGAAAATTAAAAATGATCTGTTAGTTAGTACATTAATATGATAACATTTTTCGTAGGGAAACATTTTCAAAATCAATAACTTAACCATTACCACTTTTCCATATTCTACTTAGTATTGATAGAGATTCCAAAAGGTTTTTAAAAATTATAAACACAAATGACCACATATATATGTGTTACATATAGTAAATTGCCTAATAATATTTACCATAGTTGGCACGCTTGGCAAGCGAGTTGGCAACCGCAGTAATTTTATTTTTAGTCGTTATAAGGAAGACGCTGCTGCTGCTGCTGGTTTATTCTTCTCCCTCTGTCGTCTCTTACGACACCCGCGAGATGACATACATGGTGGTACGCATAGCACACATTAATTATTTTGTCTTATAAATGTTTTCAAATAACGTGGTATTTCTTGTGCAGCTGGTGGTCCACCGTCAGTGCGGCAATGGGCGGCTGGACGAGGGCGAGGAGTGCGACTGCGGCACCATCTCCGAGTGCCACAACCTGAACCCCTGCTGCGACCCCTTCACGTGCCGCCTCACTAAGGAGGCACAATGTGCATCTGGGGAATGCTGTGAAAGATGCCAAGTAATTCATATTTTTACTTAAACTACTAGTTGTTGGCATTATGTTTTACACAGTTTTAGCCAAATACAAATAGATACAGCCGATTATAATTTATTAAATTGCAGAAAATGTAATAAACCTACCTTTATCTGGGCATATTTAGAGTTTCCCATGCTTTTTGGCTAAAGTTCGAAAAATTTATATATTACATTTATGTTAGTTAATTTTATTACGAGTTATGTTAATCCGAAATCCCACTATTAAATACTATTATATCCTCCAAAAAATTACTATTATATCCTCCTTGGTATTTATATATGTGTATATATTTATATATAAAAATTACGTGTCGCTCTTGTTGTCCGCAATGAACTAAACTACTGAGTTTATATCAATGAAATTTTGCACACTGTGCAATTTGGTCCAACTTGATTAATAAGACAGTTTTTATCCGGATAAGTGATCCTCAATATTTTTTATTGCGAATTTAAGTATTTTTTTATAGGAAGGGTCATCGAAAAGGGCAGAACAACGTCTACCAGGCCAGGTAGTTGTAAATACGTTATATTTTTGACACAGTTTCATTATATTACAAAAACAAAAACCTCTCTCTCTTTATATTAATACGAGTAAGTATTAATTGGATTCTTTCAATTGCTCCTTGGTGATAATGATTCCTTATATTAATTTATTTTTTTGCAAAATATCACTGATATAAAAAAGGAAAACATGTCCTTGGCCTCGATTTGTCCAGAAAAATTCGGAATGTACTTATTTTGTTATCGCTGTTAGTTTTCCTAACAAAACAATAGAACAATTACATAAATGTCAGCAGCATTTGGTTATTTTAAAGGCTTTCAAAGCCACGCCTATAACTGCTATCGCTGATATTAATGCCGGTAAGATTTAGGCAATATAATGAAGAATAATTTTAGCCAATAAAATCGTCCACACCTAGTTTTAGCCTTGTATATTTTTATACACCTTCATGTATATACACCTAGTTTTAATCAACCGCAATCGACTTACCTAATTGTAGAGGTCTTAACCTACTGAACCGAACTTGCAAACGTTTACGAAGACGTGAAACCTGCCATTACGCACTGAAGCAGTGCGGCGGAATAATTGACCATAACCCTCTCAGAAATGGGAGGAGACCTGTGCCCACACTGTAACTTAGATAAGCTGTAACATTACAAAATCTTCCTTCCTCAGATATGCAGCTTTCCTTGCGGTATTTTCTTTTATGTTTTATACAACATGTAACAAAAATCCTGTGGTTCCCTTTAAGTGGGTTATCAGAATCAGTAATCCAACGTGTAGAAATAATAATGTTTACTTTATTTCTTATCACAAGTTCACATTGCCTCATATACTCGCATATGGGTAAGGCCGTAGATTTTGCCACTTAGTAACATAGAGTAACATAGACACTTCTATGTTACGGTAACATAGAAGTAACGCGAAAGTAACGCATAATGTTTGTAAGTTCGATTGCATAGCGCGCTATTTTTAGCCGACTTCAAAAAGGAGGCGGTTTAGATGCATAAGCTAAACTAACTGAACAGTTCGCCAACTGTGAGAATTTCGGTGATAAAAAATATCAGTTAAATGCACGAGAATTACATTGAAAAATGCTTTATACTATTTGAGATACGATAAATGAGATAAATAACGTTGTTTTAGCTAAACTTCTCTAAACTCGACCATAAATAAATCAAATTAAATTTAAATATATTTTTATTTGTAAATTGTATTGTGAGTATGAGATGATGAGAGTATGTCAAAGATTACGCTTTACCGATGCCTGTGTCAGTTAATTCAGGTGTGAATAACAATTTTCCACAAGAATGAATTTAGTAAGTTACCTATTGTGAACAATGAAATCTCTCTTATAACGACCAAATAATTTACTCTCATAAATGCCTATATATACACCCATGGGCTCTAAAATGATCACCGGGTTGTTTGTTAGTTAATAATACTGAAGTTTACTATTGACTATTGAAAGTGAGAATACAATAGTATTTCGGAAAGCACTTAAAATTCTCTTCAAATATTAGCTAAAATTTAATACATTTTTGTCTTCGATTATATTTGATAAAAAACGACGCCAGAATTAATTTCATATTCAAATGAATTTTTAAAGTGGAGCAGATAATATTTTAAGGGCCCGCTTATAAAATGAAGCTGTAACATTATATTAATTTCGTTTCTTTATAGACTCTTTGAATTTTTATTTGAAGTCAACAAAATAATATACTTGAATTATATTTTTTTTTATTATTACTTATATTTATTATTAAAAGAGATTGGTTAAACGCGACAATGTAGACTTATTCTGCATATAACTTAAGGTAGTGGTGTAAAAAACTACATTGCACTATTTCATCCCTTAGCCGATATATTCAGATAGATGGCGCTGTACATCTCGATCTCGAACAACACACGTAAAATATTCTATCCGACGATGGACAGCGGAATAAACGTCAACCCGCCTGCAAAGCATGACAATCTAAGATAATCAGATTAGACCCAAGTTATCTGTTCGGTGGGTGAGACTAGAAGAAGAAGTTAATAAATTTCTCAAGACCGAAGTTCGGTCACGAAGGCCAGTCTCAGCGGAGACTTGCCATCTACGCAGTACATGATTATAGTGCCCAATTGTATGCGCAAGCACAGATTCACTCACTCTCATAGGCCAATAGGAGGATAATCTGACACGATTAAAAAGAGATTAAGCGCAGGACCTACGGTTTTACCTGTTTTCTGAGGCACGGGGGTAAAAATGCCGCTAACTACCTGACTTCGAGCTGCGACTGAGAACTTCTCATTTACTACGTTTTATACGTGGTAGAGCCATGCTGCAGCTATGTTAGTAGTATAACTGTAGCACGAATGGGTCGACTCGATCGGGGAAGGACCACGCTCTCACTAAATAACAGCGTAAAATAGTAACTTTACATTTTGGTGGAAGCGAGGCATTCCAACTTAGTCCTCACGGATGACAACACATCTGCATTTTGAATCGTAAATGAGGATAGAGGTAGATGTCTATGGGCCATAGCAACCACTTACCATCAGGTGGACTGTGTGCTCGTATGTCACTCTTTCCTATAAAAAAACTACCGTTTACTACAGTAGTCGAATGGCGGATTCGAACCCACGACATTTATAATTAACTATTGGGCTACTGTCACTGAACTTTTCAGAGCTCAATCATAAAGTTAAAGTAATAAAAACTAAGGTATGGCAATTATTAACCATAGAATTATTAGGCTTTACTCTATGTTCTTAACTATCTTTTTTCTAAATCTTTCTAAACTTTTTCCTTCCTTTAGCTCAAGCCTCGTGGCGTCGTATGTCGGGAATCATCCAATGAATGCGATTTAGAAGAAACCTGCACAGGTCTGTCAGGGGCCTGCCCTGTAGACGCTTATAGAAAGAACGGAGAGCCCTGCGAAGCCGGCAAAGGTTACTGCTTCGCAGGCCAATGCCCCACGCTGTCTCTACAGTGCGAGAGGATTTGGGGCCCTGGGACCATCGGAGCTGATAAACAATGCTTCGAGCAATTCAACTCTAAGGGCGCCGTCACCGGACACTGTGGAAAGGATAACAATGGACATTATATCAAGTGTGATATGGAGTAAGTCGATATTTAATGACAGACAGTTTTGTAAACTGTAGTGTGAGCTCTTACCGGTTATTACGCTGAAGGTTCTACAGCATTTACACTCTAAGTTTATAAAAATCCAAACAAACTTACAGTCACTAAGTGAATACTGCAAGCTATGGACACCTGCAGACAACTTTAAACAAAGTAGACTGATGCGTTGTCACCTTTGAGGACTAAGATGAAATACCTTACATCTCTTATACCCATCAGATCAGAATACACCAATGCCAGTACCTATTTCTGCTTGGCTGCAGAAATAGTACGAGAATAACACAAAGGGACTCCTCGGCAGAAAAGAAATGCTACCTCTTAGTAAAATATTAATCTTATAATTATTATAGATAATTGATTTGTTATCCACGCTTATGCTTCTTTTTAGGATTTCATCACGTGTAATTTCATCTTAATTTTCCTACGCTTAAGACCACGACAAAAGGTTGGTCAAGAGGGATCAAAATTAAACGCTATAAAATTAGTTTTTACCTAACAAATGAAGAGTAATTGATTTTAAACTAACTTCCCGATTAGCTTGATATTTGAAATTTTGCACAAAGCTCAGAATCGAATGACTATGTCAGATTGAGAAAAATATCCGTGGTATGTTTTTTTAACCTCGATAATTATTTTCATTTAAAACCCTCGAATTTTAAATATCGCACTAAGTGCTATAAGTCAGCTTTCATAACACGCAGCTAAGGAGTGGAATGCTCTGCCGGCGTTTATTCTTCCGAGTGCTTAACCTCTTCGAGGTGTTAACAGGCTTCGCCTGGGCATACTCGCTCCGTCGTAGACCTCATCTTTGACTCGGACCAGATGAAGGTCAAGAGCAAGCCTATTTTCAATTAAAAAAACAATCTCCCTACCAAACATGAATACTTTCTATCATTAGAGACCTATCTACAGCTGTGAACTATTATGGCCTGATAACAAAGAAGAGGGAGAAGGGTTAAATTTTAATTGGATACCATTGCCTGCAGAAACGTGAAGTGTGGCTCGTTGCAATGCCAGCTGGGGAACAGGTACCCGGTGGTGCCTGGGATGGACGAATACTACACGAGGACCGTCATCACGATCAAAGGCAACGAATATGAATGCAAGTAAGTAAGCAACAATAATGATGTGCAGGTCGACAGAGGACTAAATCCCTATTAGTGTTTAAGTTCTTACAAAGTCAGTAAGTTTTCACCCTTCTGTTGTCTGAAAAAATAACATAAATAAAAAATAAATATTTACTTATCTATTTATTTAATTTGTATAAAATCGTCTGTAAATTAAAATTACAGACTTATGTAAAGTAAAAATTGCACACTTAATACGGTGAGCACAGGCCTCTTCAAAACAAACTCATTTCGAGTGAGTTATGAAGAGATTAGTGTAAAAAATATCTCAGCACTGATTTCCGGAATGGTTAGTGGAAATTAATTTATTCTTTTTAGTTATTTAAAGTCGGCGTTTACTTTTTATTAAAAGTTAATATGTTATATTAAATATTGCACCCTTTATTTTATACCTAAGCGTACAAACGTTGGGGCTTTTTCTTAAAATTTATATGAAACCACCCTGAAGTCTAAGTATAATCTATTAAGTAGGAAAAATAAGAATTTCGGTTTGAAACAAAAAAAATCAGATATTGCGGAACATGCAATTAAAAAAACATAGTTACATTGTAAACTTCTTTTTATTATTTTGAAGTTTAAGTTAAAACTTAAAAAAACTGAGACCACAACAACAACAACAATACAAACAACTTTCCGTTATTACGATAATATACCGTTTTATAACCTCTAACTTTACATCACTTTCGCTTTTGTATCCAATACCATTCCACCCAACTCTTCCAGAGCGACCACGGGACTACCCGAGCACTCTGAGATCGGACCACTGGGGCTGGTCCGAGACGGTACTCCGTGCGGAGACAACCTGGTCTGCGTCAATCAGACTTGCTCCTCCATCTTCCCCTACATCGACCACACCAAGTGCCCCACCGACCATAACAATCACGAGTGTTCTGCTAGAGGGGTAAGTGACTTTCAATTGCTGCCTTTTTAATCTTTAGTAGATGATAGTAGATTATTAAGATGGAATGCCTCGGTAAAAAGAGTCTTGGATTTTCTACAATCACCATACGAAATACAACAGCACTAAACTGGACTGACCTATCTTAGTCAAGTCAACCCATTTGTGCTACATCCAATATATTATAGCAGTAACGTGGCTCTGCCACAAATAACATTAAATGCTTTGTTAATTTTCGTATTTTTTGAAGTTACATTTATTCTATAGTACCAATACAACTCTAAAATTAGTTTAAAATTAAAAGAAAACACATTTAAATATACGTTATTTCATCGTTATCTTCGTCATCATTACCATCATAATTATTAAAGCCCATCACATTCCCCCAAAGAATTCCATAAAGCACGATCATCACACACATCACACTTCTACATCTCCTTACCAGATCGTCATTCCATCGGGGGGAGACACTTTAATTACCTTTTACCGCTGCCAATTGAGAACTTTCTTTCACATCAATTGTCGGTTCTTTGAGATATATTTCTTTACAATTGCCATACTACTTCAAATAACCTCAATACGAAGTCTATCACCTAGAATAACTCCAAGCATAGCCCTCTCCGTAGCTCGCTTAACGACCTTGTGCTTTTTTATACGGCTAGCAGTAAAGGACCAAATCTCAGAGCCATATTGTATCACTGGCAACAAGCTCCACTGGTTGGATTCTTGTGTTGATGCTGATGTATCGTGAATGTTTGATGTGATTACTGCCCGGCAGAGTTGAACACATATATTGACCTCTCGGTCGATCTTGGACTTATTTATTTGTCCTAGGTATAGTCGTCAACAACGTTATTTAAAAACGATTTAAGTAATTTTAATTTCCTTCCACCTTAGCTCGCTATCCGCTTAAATTCCACTCCACCGGTCAACGTTCCTGTAGATTTATACTTTAGTAATTAGCACTTCATACTGAATGAGTAAAATGGACGCTCCGCCGACGAAGTTTCTTCGCGGTTTCGTTTGTTTGATTAAAATATAATATTGCGAGAGCTCCACAATACAATACTCACGTCCAAGTGTGGAACTTCTCTGAACTAAAACTATTATATAGAAATACAGAAATATGTGAACATTCAATTCTACTAAATTGGTTTAGTTTTAATAGGAGCGATCATACAATACATAACTTAAATTCTAAAGAATTTGTACGTGGTAGAGCCATACTGCTGCTATATTATTGATTGTTGCACAAACTGGTCGACTTGACCTGAGAAGTACCACGCTGTCACAGAATACCGTTAAACAGGACCGTTAACCGCGTTAAATAGGAGTTTAATGCTCCTGTGTTTCGAATGGTGAGTGTAGAAAACGAGAAACCCTTTTTACTGGATACGAGGCATACCATCTTAAACCTTAGGAGTGATTATGATGCTAAGTCGACGATAGATGTAGTCGTCTAGGAGCTGCTGTATCCACTTACTATAAGGTGCACTGTGTGCTCGTTTGTCACCCTTAATCTACAAAGAAAAGTAGTGCTGTAAGCGTTGATGCATTGATAATGCTTACGATAATATTTAACAAACTTCTACATTCTTCTAAAGTCCAACGTTAGATTATTTTTATTATTATACCTGATTTTTATTCATAGTAACCTCCCGACATGAATACCCCTTGTTTAACATCCCATTGCACCCGCAGCGGAAGGTAGCCATGAGAATTACCTCACGTCTAAATGACGTAATTTAAAACTTGAACCTCTACTTAAGCAGGCATAATTATCTGTGCTGTCATCACACGTGATTATTACGTGCTTAACCATATAAGTTTGCAACTATCAACTAATTAACAATTCGCTACAGACTCAGTTATCTGATCCGAAACATTTCAACTTCCTCATAACGATCAAAACTAAAATGATTAAAACTTTATCAACGCGCCGAACGCGACAAAAGTAACCGTGGGAACACACGAGTGAGAATTTGGCTAATCCGAACTAAACTACGAGTATATTTATCAGATATCGCAAGAACTAAGGCGGGTGTTTCACGCACTGTTTCGCTTCTCTGATTAGCATTATTGCTTTTAACTTCCTTAAACTTATTTGAAATAATTGTCTTCATTATAACAATCAAACGTGTTGGAGTACGACTTACGTGCACCGTTTCATTGCCGCGACTCGACTTCTGTAGCACCGACAGTATATCAGCGGCTGTGGTAACTCAGTTACTGTCGCATTATGTTGAGTCAGCGGCCTATTGCTGCTGCAATCCGTATTTTTTAAGTTTTTTTTTTGCATTTTTTATTTTTTATTTTTGTAAAAATAATTTTCAAAAATAATTTAATATGTTTTTTCTTTCGCCGTTTCGTAATTTAAATGTGCAATGCACTGTGAAAGAAAATATTTAAGTACCTATATGAGTATGAAAGAAAATAGTTTTGAAACATATGTATAGTTGTGACACGAATTGGTCGGCTCGACCGAGGAAGGACCACGTTCTCACAGAATACCAGCGTAAAATAGTAATTACTTAATGCTGCTGTGTTTTGTATGGTGAGTGTAGAGAACCGGAGACCCTTTTTACTGGAAGCGAGGCATTTCATCTTAGTCCTCACGAGTGACAACGCGTCTGCCTTTTGATTCATAATTGAGGATAGATGCAGATGTCTATGGGCCACAGCAACCATTTACCATTAGGTGGACTGTGTGCTTGTTTGCAACCATATTGTATGAGAAAAAAACTTATATACTTTCTTTTACTGATCACATGCCTACTCTCGTCATTCGACCCGTGAGGATTTAGAAGAAAATAAAGGTCTTAAAGCCGTGTAGTGGCCGTGTAAGAATATCCACTATCCCATAACATCCCGTGGGTGTCGTAAGAGGCGATAGAGGGAAACAAATGAGTTGGGCAGCAGGGTCTTCCTAATAACGATTAAAAATAAAAAAAACTGCGGTTGCCAAGAGGTAATCTACTTAGGGACTTAATAGGCTGTAAGACTAAAATCAGTAAGTTTTTAGATTTGAGATTATTGCCAAACTTGGTAGGCAGTTTTGTAATTTAATTGATGGAATCAGGCGTTACTTTGCGGAAATCTATTATAATATATATATATATATATATATTAATAGTTATCTTGCAACCATCCGTTAAATTAAATAAAATGATGTGTCTTCCCCAGTTTGAAGAGCACCTCCCGCCCTCCCTCAATTGCGTGCACTAATCCCGTCACCACCAATCCCAGCACACTACTCCCAACGCCACTAATCTAGGAAAGACACACCATCGACGATAATACGACATGTGTTTCGCCTTTACACCTTCAGTTATTACTCCTACTGCTAACCCTTCTTACTTTGGGATTGGTGGTGACGGGGTTAGTGCACGCAATTGAGGGAGGGCGGGAGGTGCTCTTCAAACTAGGGAAGACACATCATTTTATTTTATTTAGCGGATGTTTGCAAAATAATTATTAATTTCTTTTGTTTTGTAATTACACTAAGTGCTTCTAATAAACTATGTGTTTGTGGGGCAGTTATCAAATCTACTGAAACGGGTAGAAGAAACAATTCAGGAGAAAGGAATATTGGATTTCTTGTTAAGTAATATAAATAAAAACAATGTTAATAAATTTCCGTTACATAATACTTATTATTTCTTTTCATGGGGTAAGAAACTTTAAAGAGCGTTTAATTAAAATCCAGACTCGTTCCTCAACTCCACGCTAATGGAGTACTCGTGTTGTTTAAACTAGATAAAGAGGCGATAGTAACTTTCGAATTTAACTTAGTACATTACATTCAATATGTATGTTCACAGTAGTACGAAGCTGCAAGCGTTCCATTCCTTACAAGAAGCTCTAAAACAATTTTATTTATACATTGAATATTTATTATTAGTTACTTAAATCATTTTTTACAGAATAAGGTTGACAAACGAGCACAAAGACCACCTGATGGTAAGTGGATGCTGTGACCCATAGACATCTACTTTTATCATCGATTAAGAATCAAAACGCAGATGCGTTGTCACCCGTGAGGACTAAGATGCAATGCCTCATGGCCAGTAAAAAGGGTCCCCGGTTCTCTACACTCACCATACGAAACACAGCAGTATTAAGCTGCTATTTTACACTAGTATGCTGTTAATCATAACTGTATAGTAGCAGTGTAAGAATATCCAATACCTCATATCATCATGTGGGTGTCGTATAGAGAGAAAAATAACAGATGGGCAGCAGTGTCTTCGTAATAACTACTAAAAATAAAAAAACCCGTGTGCCAAGCATAACAATTATGGCAAATATCCCCCCTATGAAGCTATCTATGGTGGAGGCCTATGATGAGCTGTGGACTGCAATATACTGTAACGGTAACAGTAACTTTAATCATTATGTTTAATAATGCCCGTAGTACCACACGTTTTTACGTTCTTTAAAATTTAAAAGTTAAGCAACAGACTTTATACACGTCCTATTGCTGAATTTTTTTTTAACACTTTTTTTTTGAACAATTTTTTTTTTTGAAACAAATTACATACTGATGAAATACGAATAATATTTTTTGATCTTAGCGACATAATAGAAAAAACTGAACTGGTTATTTAAATAAAAAATCATGAGTGCAATTAGTTTATTTGAAATTTCGTGTTTTAAAAAATACTAAAAAAGGGCTCGAAAAAATAGATTTTCTCAAAAAAGAAACGAACTTGAAAAAAAAATTTAAAAAAGTCGGTCGCTCGGTCTGGGCTCGGACCATGGTATTACGATTTTGTGACCGCCCAATATACCAATTAAGCTATTTGTAATCATTAATATACTGTCAAAATTTACCTTCTTATTCTAATGATATTGTAGCAGTTTTTAATTGCCTAAAAACACGGACAAAAAGATATTTTCTAAAAGTAAATCCCAGCTAGATCGATTTATTGCTCCCGAAACTCCCTGCACACAAAATTTTATGAAAATCGTTGGAGCCGTTTCCGAGATTCCAATTATATATATATATATATATATATATATATATATATATATATATATATATATATATATATATATATATAACAATTGCTCGTTTAAAGGTATAGGATTACGTTATTTAAAAAAGCTGTTGATCCTCCAGTTTGGATATCATAAAATTTAGTCACCAAATTTTCTTATTTTAAAGTCTAAATATGTTACATTATAATGTTCTGAAAACGTTAATGAATTTCATAAATAACTTTCATCATAAAAAAGAAACGTAGGATTAAAAATTCATATGCGTTGTCACCCCTGAGGACTAAGATGGAATGAATCGTTTCTAGTAAATTAGGTCTTCGGTTCTCTAGACTCACCATACGAAACACACCATCATTAAGCTGCAATTTTACGCTGGTATTCTTGAGAGTCTGGTCTTACTCTGAACAAATCGACTGCAGAGAGACATGCAGCATGGCTCTACCACTTAGGTTTCTATTTATAACAGTATTTTAAATTTTGTATTTTGTGAAATTCCAGGTGTGCTCGAACAACAATAGGTGCGTGTGCAACCGCGGCTGGACCGGGCCGGACTGCTCGCAACCGGACGCTCTGCCACCCTCCCCTACGCCCTACATACCAGAAAATACCACTAAAACCGCCTACAACATGACCAAGAAGGAAACGCCGTATGGTGAGTCCACACCAGTACCGTACTATAGCAGTATTATATTTAAATCCGTGTATGAAGATTGAAGAGCAAAATTTAAATTCTTTATGTACCTATTTTATTGTCATTTTCACAAATATACAATGAATATAACTAACCTATTGTAAATATTATGGTCAGAATATTGTCACTTATTATGAAACATGCAGTTTAACAATAAAAAAAAACTCTATAGGTCTCTCCCATAGGGGGGAAGTTCTCATGATTGCCAATTCTGGTGAAAATATTCATAAAAATTAGTAGTATTCAAATAAATAGAAATAAAACAAAGTTGGAAAATGAAAAAGATACATAAATTTACATTTTGCAACTCAGTAAATAATTTTTATCTTTATAATTGTTAAAATTAAAAAGAATTTTAAAAGACCCTTGACAGGCTGAATTTGAGTGAAATTTTCATTACGGCCCTCAGACCAACAAACGAAAAGGACGGAGCGCTGCGTACAATTTAAGTGATGCAAAAACCAAGCCAAAACCGTTCAGTCTTAATGTTAGAACACGCACTCACATAAAAGCATGCATTGAAAATCATTTGCAATCAACAATATGGACTTATGGCCATGTCTTTGCCTCCAGCAATATACTTTTAAAAAAAAAGTAAATAGGTGTATGCGTAAATGTGTCAAGTTGAGCATGGTTTCGGCAAAACTTTAAATGTGTGCATCGCTCCGTCTATCTTTCTTTATAGCTCTGAGCTATCAAAGTTCCACTACTGAATATAACCTATATCTAGATTGCCTCATAGTGTATTTTGCTTTAATTGCCACGCTTGGATGGCAAGTTGTCAACTGCAGATTTTTTTATTACTCTGAGTTGTTATCGGGAAGATGATGCTGCCAATCCCCTGTGTAATTTCCCTCTGTGGCCTCTTTCGACACCCAAGGGTATTATAGTCCAAACTAAATATTTTAAGTATTTGGCTGACAGTAATTTTTTTTGTGAATGTTTTTGTTACTGGCCGGTACGACAGCGACATTACATATGTTTATAATATGCTAACAAACAGGAGTAAAACTACTATTAAAACCTATAAAACTACTAAAACCTAAAGTTAATAATGATATAGTACAAGTGGCATATAATATTTAATAGTAGCTGTAAATGTACTTTTTGTATTTTTGAAATTTTCAATCAAAATGTTTTCGCGTTAAATATTTACTCCTCGTCCTTTAACCACTTGAAAATAATTTACGATTGCCGTGTAAAGGTGGCGCTAGACATCACATTGATACCCATACAAGTGACTTTTAATTGGTATTATTTATAATGTATATTGTATAAATTGTTTCTATTTCTCTATTTCTATTTCTATTCACAATTTGATCAACATCCGGGTGTTGTTAAATATAGGAAATAGCAGAAAAATGTAATGGTTTTCGATAGATGACGTTATAATATTTAAAAAATGTAAAATAACTAACCAAACTGGCTACAGAGAGCAGCTTCAAAAGTGAAATATATTACATACAATGGTTGTACTTCAGCTAGATATGTCAAGATGTTGCTTCGCTATTGTACCGACCAATGACGAAGCGGAAACCTAAAGAAGGCACTGAGGCAGACACAATATTTTTGATATTTTTGTAATTTCTCTATTGTGTTTTATATTAAAGATACTTCCTGTTTTATTCTCTAAATGTTTCCTTCTTACCTTATGTTTGCGTATCTTTGTGTACCTCTTCTGTCTACTATGGGTGCGTTCGGCAGAAAAAAGCGCTAGCAAGCGCTTACTAGCGCTAAAATAGTTTTCGGCCAGGACATGATTGCTACTTCAGTAGCGTTGACACAATCCGCCATTTTGCTTATTTAATTTGTTTGTTTTGAAGTAGAGTTTATAAGTTGTTTTTTTGCAATATTAGTTATAAGTAATATAATGACATGAATAGATATATACATTTTATTAAAAATTCATGATTGGTAAGTTTTTAATATGATTACTTCACAAACATATATTTAAATTAGGTTAGGTTTCCCGGTTAAAACTAACATCGTGTCCTAGAGGAAAATAGCTACTTGCGAATTGACAGCGCTTACCGCTTACGATCGCCATTTTGCTTACAAGCGCTTGCTAGCGCTTTTTTCTGCCAAACGCAGCCTATATATCAAATTAATTTATTGTTTTTTCTTTTTTACTTTCAGGTATCTACAATTTTTTTGAATGATGATAAAATCCTTTTTTTTAAATAGAAAATTATTTTTTCTATTAAAAAAGAGAGTTGAGTTTTTATTTTTTAAAGTTAAACATCATTCAAAACCAATTACAGCCAAGTCCACTAATGAATTTCTATCTTGTGATTTCAGGTGTCTATCTGTCTCTATGTCTATTGATATTCCCCCTACTGTACATAGTTTAATTGCCTGTAACAATGCAATTGGCCACATTCGAGCACTGCTCTTCCAAATTAATAGTGTTCCGTTGTACAAAATAAGAGCCTTAGTGACTTATCGCATACATGGTTGTATTATTATATATACATATCGAAGTTAATTAGTTTGAATTGTCGGTGACGCTCTACAAATGAAGGCATTGCTCGAAACAGGCGTGATTATGGCGCGGGCGACGCCGGCGCATTAACGCGCGGGACCCCTCTCTTGCAGGTGTGCACGAGGGGAATAAGATGAGCACCATGAACATGGTGATATTGTTACTCGCGGTCGTGCTGTCTGTGTTCGTGGGGTTCGCCTGGATGGCGTACTGCTTCAGGTAACCGGTAACTGGGTGTTGTCGCGTTGTATTCGTCATGTCGTATGGTTTTGTCGTATCGTATCGTGTCGTATCGTAACGTAACGTATCGAATCGTGACGTTGAGCCGACCGCGAGACCGCCGGCGCCGCCCGCGTGTCGCTGGCGTCCCCGAGACCCCACCGACCGTTGCGGCACCGCGACTCACAAACCTTCTCTTTGGGCGCAGAGAACTACCACGGCTCGAACACGGTATTCCTCGTGGCGGTGCTCATGTCTGTGGTAGGGGGGGTATTCATAGTATTTGCCCTGAGCGCTCTCTGCTACAGGTCAGTCGTAGTACACAAAAACTTCTCCCTGTGCCTAAGGTTAGTGAGCAGAAAACAGACCAAAGGTAGTCTTTAAGGAGAAATTTAAATCGTCACCTTCGTATACTTGTATGTTTTATTTTAGAAGTTAGCGTTGGTGTTTCTTTTTCGTATAATATGAAGATTGAGTTTATGTTTTGGTTATTTGGAGATTTTTGTCGTTTACGTTGTGATCGTAGAACTAGTTGGCGGGTGCAAGTGCAACTGCATTTGATCTGTGGTTCTGTGTCCGCGCTGGCGGTCGGGCCGCGCCGCGTCGGGCCGAGCCGCACCGAGCCGCACCACGCAACGCGCCGCCGCGCCGTCCGGCCGCCTCGCTGCATGCCTACAGGGCTTTCCGCGTTGTACTCGAGCGACACCTCGAATCAAACCCTTAAGATTCTGGGCTCTTGGATGTATGCATTGGCTTATGTGAACTGTGACTCGTTTTCGTTTCCTTTCTTGGTCGGCGACCGAGCCGCCGGGCGTTCCAGACCGCGACCCGGCGGTGCGATCGCATCTATATCTTCCTGTTTACATGTCACCCGCGCAAAACTCGAATGGATTTGTCAATTAGTATGTATACTTCAAACGGTTACGCATCATCTCACGTCAAGCGGACGGTACTTGGTACAAATCATAACCGAGGTATGTATAGCTAAAAAAATTGTATTGTAATGAACGAAGATATAGATCGCCCGACTCAATTTCACCGATCATTACCCACTAACACTCAAGTCTATTAACTCTTGCACGAGAAGCGAATGTGCGATGCACGTAATCTACTTTCATGCAGCTATCTATCTAGTTAGCAACGCCTAATGTTAATATTTAAGGTATCAGTTGTATCTTTCCATTAAAAATCTAATAGATATCTATTATCATCAGAAGTTTTTCATTCATTTAGATTAGACTTTTTCTTAAAATTTCCTTACTATCAATTAGCAACAAACCATCTTCTGATGATATATGTAGTCCCAGTAATTAGTTATTTTAACGGTAGAAAAATTTTTCAAAGGCCTAGATTGAAGTTTTACATTGTAAAATTTTTACTGGAAAGAGACTGAAAAATCACTAGGCTAAGGATCAATCTTATTATTGTGTTACCATTTGACATCAATTCCGATGAGGAATGAAACGAAAAGAAAATAAATAGTCAAAAAATTTAAAATCTCTAAGAAGTTTTACATTAATTAAAATATCCAAAAGCGCCAGTCTTGTATTCAAATAAATGTTACTCTTGACTACTGCACATCGAAACTAATACGTATTTAACAGACACTGCAAATTAATAATATCATATTAAAATATATATATGTATTGTAGTAAACAAGAGGCAACATTATTGAATAAATTCATATGGGAAACGGTAGCTGATTTTTTAAAATCCATTTCCTTGATTAATTAAAAGAATTTTTAAAAATGTAATAATTTTATATTACAAATCTTAAGTTAACATTTTTACAATCTGATAGAATTTTTCACTCGATTCCATTGAATTAAAATGATAAAATTGTCATACAATAAATTAGATTTATTACTACGTTGGTGAAGAATGAAAGTTTTAAATACGGTTGTAAAGTTTATTAATTTGAAATAAAAACTAATTTTAGCATAAGACACTGTCATGAGCCAGTCTTAGTTAAAGTATTACGATATTTGAATTATATAACATCTCAAGATTCTATCAGACAATATGTAATTGCCAATCAGCTTACGTTTACTCATGGTGAATTATTAATCAATAGATTATTTGGAAACGAAAACATTTTCGAAATTGCAAAAGCAAATCCCCTAGTATAATCGGAGGTGTTCTCGATCTTATTGGTCAAACGAAGCTTAATGTTGTAAACATAATCGATTGATCTGAGTGTGCGTTTCCACGCCACGCCTGCATCAGGAAAAAGAGTACGCTGCCGAAATACGACCCGCCGTACGTGAAGAAACCGATGACCAAAAGTTTCCCGGCCGGCTCCACTACATCCAACAACTCCCAGGAAGATATCTCCATCGACGGTGGCAAGATGCACTCGTTCAATAACACTTTCAGGTACGTCTCCCTCAACTTATCTGTCATATATACAAAGTTACGTAGATTATCCCCAACTTCACATCCAAGTACGTTTAGAAATTTCACACGTAAAATATTGGTTGACTAAGGATCTAATTTTACTTGTAAATCACATCTTTAATAATTAAAAAAACTAATATCTTGAAAAAAAAAAAACAATCACCACTCTCATTATCTTATCACAACGTTCTCTCTGATGGCTACTTTGATAATTTACGCTAAACGAGTTTCAGACAACTTTGGTTCATTAAGTTTATAATAAAAATCAATTGAAGTATTTGTAATAGAAATTTATAGTAATTTTGAAATATCAACCGCAAAACCAATTGCTGAAACACGTTCATTATAAAAAACCCTTGTTTAAGTTTTCCCAAATTTAATTATTCTTTCCTCTTCTAAACGGATCTGGTGTTCTCAAACAGAAATCTCCTAAGGTACGTCGACGCTTGCCGCAAATCTCTTGCGCCTCACCGCTCTTCAACATTTTATCTCACACGATTTTCGCTTTTACTCCACATAGCTTACACACGAAAATGCTTTCAAATTTAACGCATTATTTTCGGTCAGTTTTGCTATTAAACTTCCATCGGCCATGTTTTCTTAGTGTGACCAACACAATCAACATTTACGCGTTAAGATACACGCTTTACTAATTTCTCTTATATTTCCTAAATATCGTTTTGTTATTGCATAATTAAATTAGATTAAGTATTTGTATCTGCATTTTTATTCAACAAACCTTCTTTTATTTAAAAAAAAATATAAAATTTGGATATCAGAATCTATTTGCTTATTTTTATTTTAAATTTCAATACCGTATGAAAGCTAAAATTACGGCGTACGCTGCTATAAATATTGATTTTTTTATCATTTTATATTGCGTTTTTAGTGATTTACCTTTTTTACTAATTATTAATGAATACCGAATTTGAACTAAATTATTATTTGAAGAGTGATGTTAAAAGATTACGTACTATTTAAATATTCATGTTATTGAACAAATTCATTGAAATTAGTAAACCAATCTTACGGACCCTTTAAAACATGAATAATACTATACAGAATGTCCCAGAAAAAATGGGTAACCCTGGAGCGCATAATAAAAGGCGCTCAAACAAAAATACAAAAAATATATAATATATGAAGACCTAAATGGCCTACAATTTCAAAAATATGTGAAGTTAATACAGTTTACAAAATGGTATAATATATAATTTTATCCAAATTTAGAAAATTAAATAAAAATACCTTATCTTTTCTTTAACGGTGATAAAGGTTAGTGCGTTCTTGTGTGAAAGAGTTCTTTTTATTGTAGTAAAGATCGGTATTTACAATTATTTAAGACAAGATTGTTTTTTTCTTTCTTCAGTCGAATTTATTCTTTTTGCATCAAAATTATGTACCATAAAATTTTGTAAAGTGTATCAACTGCACATATTTTTGAATAATTAACCACTTAGGTTTCATACTTTTTTTACGAATGGCTCTCAAACATTTGTTAAAATTATTTTTTTATAAAATTTCACGCTAAAAATTAAAGTTTTTTTTTTTGAAAAAAAGTACAATATATCATACTCATACTCTTTATTTCATTTCTAATAGAATAGTCTGTGATGAATAAGAGAACACCAAAAACGCAACTAATTTCATTAATTTTGCGACAGTGGTGTACATGAAAGTACAGTAAGGTCAATAAAAACATTTTTTTTTAATTTATATTTTTAGCACCACTGGGAATCTATTTTTTTTTTTGTATTTTTATTTGAGCGCCTGATACCTGTACTATTAGGCACTCTAGGATTATCCATTCTTTCTGGGACACTCGATATAAGGAAACATGTGAATAACTAGTCAGTCTAGATGTTAGATTTATGGCACATTAAAAATAAAACCTGCATTAAAATACACCAAACATTTTTGAATTATATAAAAGTTTTTGTATAGTACATGTTACTATATTATGTACCTATATATCATAGGTAATGTACACACTATAACATTAAACAACAGTTCAACATACTTTAGTGCAACAGTTAGTACAGTACATCACACAGAGCAGTAAAATTTAGAATTAAAAATTACATACAAAGTGCCAACCACACGACTTTGCTAGATGAAAAAGATGTCTACACAAGTAGAACTAGTTATGCCGCAGAACGTAGGCTAAACTTAGTACTAGTAAGTAGAAATAGATTATTCTGATATTTGAAATTTTCAGCCGCGGAGATTCTCAACGTGTGATCTTCAAACATGGGAACCACATGTCGGGGGCCAGCGGCACTAGTAGATATCCGTAAGTAATACGATTTAGGTGGAAAAAAAAGAAACGCAACATACGCTACTTGAATTTGGTAATCTTTATTAGCATATTAAGATGATTGAGCATGACACTGCACTTATCCTATAGAAGTAGGCACCTACTTTTAACCATCGAGTAAAGAGGTTGAGGGCTAGAGACGGCGTCAATGAAGAGCGTAAAATTCCTAAGGTATATAAAAAGCATTTGCTTATATTCATTAAAACTAAGTTTGAGTATACCGGATAGCGTTGGCAATCGAAATACCGAATTGTATATGTGGCCTTAAAGAGGACCGTCATTATTCATCTATCATGCCATTGCTAATTTTCGAATCCGGAAAAACATTCACTTCATCGAGAGCTCAAGATTTTAAATCATAAAATTTAGTATAATATCAGAATTTAGAACAAAAATGAATACGTGGTTGAGCATTTGTTGAATTTCTTATGTGTAAATTTTCTCATTACAGAGACCACAAACAAATGAAACGTGTCCATTCGGGAAGTGAAGATGAACCAACTCATTCAGGTAATTTCAAAACTTATTGAACGTTTTACAGAAATAAAGATTTATTACAATAAACAAAAACAATATTTGAATGTAAACAAAATTATAATTCAAAATGGCGATCAATTAACCGCGTAACCGGTATTGATCTAAATTTAAAATTTCTCGTCTAGCTGATCGTATAGTTAGTTTGTAATCTGTTACAAAATATATATGAATAAAACAGACGAACAAATTGTAAGACAAAAAAGTGAGAATATACTGCATTGTTATTAAGTTCTAAAATATATTTAAAGTTTTAAGTCTCTTGCTCATCTGGAAGTTAGTTTAAAATTGATTGTGAAATTTATACCGAACAGATAAACAGAGAAGTGATCGAATTAATAAAACGTAGTGAAATAAAAGAACATAATTTTGCAGGTGAAGAAGATATAGCGTTTATAGACGTAGCTCCTAATTCAATGGCCAAACTTCCAGAGAAGGGAATTCTTAAAAAGCACGGCTACGGAGCTATTGACGGCAAAGACAAGTGGGGTGATGACTCTCAGTCGGAGCAACTGGAAGCGGGATCGCAGTCAGATGGCCAAGAGCCAACTGGAGCCGTAGCTGATATGGAGTACAAGTTTAAGGTAAAATACCCAGTTTTAAGGTAATTTAAACCATTTATTCTCAATGATCAATTATGCCTAACACATTTTAAGGATTTTAAGCTATTGCTTAGCTTCTATCGCGGGCCTTGAGTGCGGGAAAATCCAGAAATTTCGTAACGAAAAAACCTCACGCTCTCCGACGGGCACGGAGGTGTGGCTTGAAGGCCGTGCATTGTCTAACGATGGTCTAACGTCGTTTCTTTTCCTCAGTCTTCGACACGGTGTTTGTGTATAAAGTGTTTTGAAATTTTGAATATGAATGAACAAAGTGCATTTATTATTAATGAAGAAAGTCACGAAAAATAGTGAAAGAAAATGAGTGAGTACTCTATATACATACCTACATTTTGTAGCGGCGCTGTCGTCGCGCCACAAGCGAAAACACACCGAAGCCTAAATCGCGCTATCAACATTCCGAATCATAAACAGTATATATAGAACTTCTCCGAACTATCACTCGGAGTGTTGGCCGCTCCCCGGGCAGAACACCTTGCCCGGCGGGAGATCTCCCATTTTCCTTCCACAGCCACAGTGGTGACCCCGACGTGATCTGAACATGCAACCAAACAACCTTCGGAAACTTCAAGCTTCGTCATCGTCATAGAATACCCCACCCATTCGCTCCCGAGTAGATATCGTTTGCAGTCTTCATATCCTGCAAGCCATCTAGCTTCACAAGGTTCATCGCAGCACTGGAATAATAATGCTTCCTGTTCCTTCAAGCTACTCTCTGCGCCATACAGTGTTCGGCACGGCTCTGAGCCTTACTGCTCGCCTCTGCTTCACGGCACTCTCGCAGATTACTTGTCTTCTTCTCGACTCACCGCAGACTACAAGGCAATCTCGTGGCACTTGCACATTCGTCGGCAACGAGGCTGCACTATCGACCTCCGGTCTGAGCAGGGGTGATGTAGCGGCGCTGTCGTCGCGCCACAAGCGAAAACACACCGAAGCCTAAATCGCGCTATCAACATTCCGAATCATAAACAGTATATATAGAACTTCTCCGAACTATCACACGGAGTGTTGGTCGCTCCCCGGGCAGAACACCTTGCCCGGCGGGAGATCTCCCCTTTTCCTTCCACGGCCACAATTTTATTATTATCACAAATGCAGTACTAATTTTGAATTGAAAATATAATACTGCTATAAAGATAACCTAAATTTTTGATATTAAAATGAGCGATATTAAAAGTAGCCCTCTTTATATACACACAAACACACACACGCGTATAGTTTAAATTCTCAATTTAGATTCTCAATATGTATATATATACTCGATTAACCGGACTAATTGTTGCCGTTAGGGATTCGGATAATCGAAAATCCGGATGATCGAATGTATGAATAAAAGCGGGTTTTGTGCATTTGTAGTACATATGTACATACATAATGTTATGTGTTTATTAAAAACAACAATTTCAACGAAAATCAATGTTTATTAAGAAATTATTATTTTTTAATAAACATTGATTAAATTCCATGAAGAGATATAAATCTATATAACCATCCGTTACTTGCGACAAACGAGCCGCCGTCACCTAATTTTTTATTTAACTGTAATGCTTTTTCACAAAGCAAAGGGCCAGATATCATTTGCCCAGTTAATCGTTTTTGTAAAAACCAACAATACAAAGCGTCTTCTAATTGCCAATTTACTCGCGGACATAGGTCCTTATGTCCGGGACGGGGGTTTGTTAGCGCCTGATAGTAGATCGTCTTATCTCAAGCGGTGTGAAGCGACGATTAGTGAGGTGCGGGAGGGGGAGGCTAGCTGCATTTGTGTGCGCGGTCGGTCACCCCTAAAGTTGGGCGTTATAACATACAACAGATAATATATTTCATTATATATTTTTAATCTTACAACACATTAGAATAATGAACCATTGACTGTTATAATATTATATTCATTATCGTTATAAAGTGTCATCTGTTTACGTTTACGGTCCAACCGTCGCGTCGGCCGAGAGAATGGGAGTCAATAAAATACTACCTACATTCATTATACCACAAGGATTGCGTATAGCTTACACTAATTTAAACTCTTAGCTAACTTAATAAGAGCTTATTTTACTAACATAAACGCGAAGCCGGGTTGTTCATATATTGAAAGTCTCCTTGTTTTGTCTTAGACTTATGTTAAGACGCTACCCTGACCAAAACCTGGCAAAAGTGCGTTTTTCAGACTCTATTATCTCATTAGTTATGAAAAATAAACTACATCTAAAAGTACATTATTAATGTTCGATATCTTATCATCGCATTCCACGTTCTAATTTATTTTTATGTGCTATAAATACATTTAAAATCAACTTTTAAAAAATGACTAAAATTCTTGATTACATGCATCTGTTGCTAAACGCAACGCTCTAATCATTTGAGGATAACACTAATGGATAGATAATGAAAAAATCTATATTCTCCACGTTTTATTTAAATTTTTAAGTTCGTTTTTTCTCTTTTAATTGAAATAATTCCGAAAATTGTGTGACTTCTATGATAAAGGGGCGTGCGCAGAGTGCGGGCGGCATTACGCTGTATGCGTTCATACGAGGTGGCCGCGTCGCTGGTCGCCGCGTCCGCATTTCGCCGCAAACATAATATTTTTTGAGTACCTACCAACCGATGCGCTTAAGTCACGGTATATTGTAACTCGGCCGTATCTTAGAAATAAATATTACAGCCGTGCGGTACGTAAACATGCGATAGGGCTGCTGCCTCCAGTATTTTTACATTTGCCCATTGATTTATGTGTTTTATAACTCAATGCATTTTCCTACTTTGTGTTTCCATTTAGTTTTATGATTGTACTTAAATATACTTTTTTATATAAACAAATATATAATAGGTACTTTGTGAATTGAATAGGAAGTGTTCAATAAAAATGCGTGTCGTTTTATGATTGGTAGATTTAATTAAAAAACCATGTTTATGTTTGAATAACAAATCGGTCTTATAAATTTGCGGCCGAAAAATATTTGCGCCTCGGCTGAGACGTACGAAATGCTTTATTATTAAAATTTTAAATATAAAAAATCCGCATTATAATATAAAGCTTAATTAAAAATTGTTTTGGGAAACATGGACAAGTTGGAGTAAAGGAATATCTTTTACTTGGTTATAGATACCTGCAGCTATTTTACAATTTATATGTTTGGTTTTAAATGAAGTTTGGATTTATTATTTTTTTATTTCTATTCTATTTTCTGAAAGGGTCCTAGGAAAGGAATTATCCACCGCGCTGCCCCACTGCGTATTGGCGAACTTTGCATGTCTTCGAAATATTATTTTTCTTATTTCTCAGACATGCAGGTTTCCTCACAATGTTTTCCTTCACCACTGAGCACGTGGTAAATCAACACTTAAAATTGCAATTACAATATTATTGGTGCCGGCGGGGATCGAACCCGGTTTGCTCGCACACTGTGAAAATTTTAGCAAGCGCTAACCATCTGAGCTACCACGGCTCCTCTCCTCTCGAGCTAGAGACTTTATTTTATTTATCGTCAGGCCTGTTGGTCTAGTGGTTAGTGACCCTGACTGCTATGCCGTAGGTCGTGGGTTCGATTCCCACCCAGGACAAATGTTTGTGTGATGATTATTTATCTATAATATTTATGTATTTAGAAATATATAAGTATGTTTATCAGTTGTCTAGTACCCATAACACAAGCTCTGCTTAGCTTGGGACTAGATGGCGTTGTGTGATATTTGTGGAATATTATGTGGGGTATCTATATAGTTTTCTCATCTGGTTGGGATGTATAAATATATAATTATAAATTAAAATGAAAAGATAAATATACATAAATATCAATAAAATAAAATAAATACAAAAAATACATAAATAAATAAAAGCCCAACCAGATGGAAGCCCTCGGCAGGGGAGACCAAACGGCCAAGGGTTAGGGGGAAAGGGAAAGAAACCGGCGGACGATGCGGGCAGTATCGAGGAGCACCGCCTTCTGCATTTGAGCCCGGAGCGGTCCGTCACGGAGTCCCAGTCGCCTCAGATGACCAGAGAGGCTGACTGGGATTAGCCCATTCGCAGAGACGACTACAGGAATAATTTCGGTCGGCACACCACCCCACATGTCGGTCACCTCGTGAGCCAGGTCCAGATACTTTGATTGCTTATCTGTTTCGGCTTTCACGAGGTTCTCGTCATACGGGACGGTAATATCGACCAAAAATATCCTTGACTGTGCCCGGTCCATCAGCACAATATCAGGCTTATTCGCAAGAATAGTCCTGTCTGTGATGATGGCCCGGTCCCAGTAGAGCCTGGCGCGGTCATTTTCGAGCACGGCTTCCGGCAAGTACTTGTAATACGGCAATTTCCGGTCCACGAGACCGTATTTCAGAGCGAGCTCCTGGTGTAGAATTCTGGCTACTAGGTTGTGCCTGTGCAAGTACTCAGAGTTAGAAAGCGCCGAACAACCGGAGATGACATGCCTAAGTGACTCCCCGGGATGGCGACAAGCTCGACAGACGTCGACGGTGCCATCCTTTAGGATGTATCTCCGATAGTTGTTGGTCTTAATAACCTGATCCTGTATTGCACAGACAAAACCCTCGGTTTCCCCCGAAGAGGTCACCGAAACGCAGCCAGTTGAGGGAGGCGACTGTGTCTACGAAGGGCTCATGTAGAGCCCTGTAGTACCTCCCGTGGAGCTCCTTCTCCTTCCATACGGTCTCCCGGTCGGAAATGCTAAGCACTGCTGGGTCCTGCCATTGCTCGTTGGCTAAGGATAGAGGGGTAAGCCCTTTATCACTAGAAATGACGTCATTATAGAATGGATCATCCGATCTCGCCAGGAAGTAATGACGGAGGCTGCACACTTCACGATTATGCATAGTGAGCGCGCTCAGAAAGCCACGCCCACCATGCTTTCGCGGCAAGTACAGCCTCATTACCGACGATCTCGGATGATGCATCCTATGGGACGTCATGGTAGTGCGGACTTTTCTATCCAGGG